CTCCCCATCAGGACAAGAGCCTATGAACTCAATGCCTCCTGCAGAAAAACTTTGTCAATAGGCTCCTCTTGATCAGGGTCTGTAGTTGACCCCAGTCACAAGGGTCCCTTTGTTGCCTCAGTCTCTCATTCCTGCCCACAGGCTTTCAAGTTGTTCATGGTTGTTCTTCCAAGACAACTTTCCACACTCAATCCAGCTCTGGATGCAGAGGGCAATCCTCCACTTGTCCTTCTTCCCTTGACTATTCTGAACACTTTTTAGCTTTCAATAATCATGGTCTAATTGTGGGATTTGTCACACTGAGCTTCAGTAATGGCAACAAGGTTGTAGCTTTCTAGCCGCACAGTGGCTTCCAGCTCCTCCAGTTTTTGCCCATGCTGTGTGCATTGGTGTGAAGGCACCTCAGTTGAGTTGTCAGCCATGTCACCTTCCTGGAGGAACACCTGTTCATTCCTTTGAGACATTTTCCTCCCTGGAGTTTCCCTGTTGGCTTCTGTTACCTCAGGATTCCCTGGCTCATGTCCCTGAGACTGCAGGTGTGTTTCAGTGCAGCTAGCACATTTCAGAATCAGCAGCAGAGGATCCTCACTAGCACTCCATGGCTCTAATATTTGCATATCACCCCACAGCTTGCCAGGGACAAGCCTGATACTGACAGCCTGCAGCATTGAAGCCAACTGATGGTTCTAGTGGGGAATATTAGGTTAAGAAGAGTGGAGAAAAGCATGAACAAGATTATGAAAGAGGGGAATTTTAGGTGTTAAGAAATTCTCTACTATGAGGGCAGTAAGATACTGGAACAGGTTGCCCTGATCAGCTGGGGATGTGCTAAGCCTGGCGGTGTTCAAGGTGAAGCTGGATAAGCAGGATGGTTGAGCAGCCTGGTCTAATGGGATATGTTTCTGCCCATGGCAGAGAGGGTTGGGAGTAGATGATCTTTAAAGTCCCTTCCAACCTTTATGTTCCACGATTGTATGATTCTATGAAAAGGTAAGGGCAGAGTAAGGGCTTGAGATGTGGCCTACAGAGCAGAGCTGAAATAATATGTTTCATTTCTTGAGACTGATAGATAGAAGAAGTATTGGCATATAAACAGGAAGAGAGAGATATGCGAGAACCATCAATTAACAAAGGAAGCAATGCAATGATAAGAAAAGGAGTGCTAATGTTCTCTGTATAAAAGTGAACTTTTCAACTGGCATTGATGATTAGGAGTGGAAGTCAGGTTGGACTAAATGGGCAAGGGTAATGTGAAATCAAAGATGAAAGTAGTTTTGTTAGTAACACCTCGCAATTTAAGGATACCTGCAATAATTACTTGCCTGTCCTGTATTGCCAAATATGTCAGTTTATTGGGAAACAGAGCTATTACTTGGGACAAAACCTGTAAATTAGCAAAACAGAAAGTAAGGTGCAGTTATCATAGTTGCATGGTGTAGTGAATCACACAACTTCATGAAGGAATTAAACTCACAAATTTTAGATATCCACTATTAAATAAAACCTAACATGCTGATAAATTAGTTCTAAAAAACTAATTTGTAAATTATTTATGCTGTTTCCTGGGAAACAGAGCTCACAGGAGTGTGCTGTCTGCTTTAGTTATCAGTCATTTCCTCTGTGAGTAAGTTTTGATAGCCAGCTTGAAATCACTTGGAAAGAAGTGAAAGGTCATTAATACCTTCAAGTAGGCTTTAAAATCTGTAGCTGGGTGAAGGAGAGATCAAGTTAGTATGCCTGAGATAAGCTGAACATTGACATAATATATTCATTTTGGCAATGATGTGTCGACAATCCACACATCTTTCCCAGCTGCTGTCACAGCACTGCCCTCTCTTGCTCTGCATCCTGAATAACATGGGAAGACAGTAGAGCCTGGGGTGTGGGAGGAGGGCTAGGGAGAGGTAATCCAGAACCTGAACAGTGAACCAGCCTCCATTATTTCTTGTTTCTGATGGTATATTTTTTATAATCTAATTTTCTGACTTCTTTTACCTGAGGATTCCAGAAATGCATTGGTTTTATTTCATCTACAACATTAAATAAGCCCAAGGGATTAAAAGATTTCTGTTTCTTTTTAGCATTGGATAGATTTGAGAGCTGAAAATAAGCTTTTATCTTTAATGAAACTGCATACTATTCGATTTTTTTTTTTTTTTTAGTTTGAATGTTTCCAGAGTATAATTAGCAATACATCAACATTGCTGTACAAAAAAGTCTTACTTTTGTTTGCTATTTGCAGGTTTATTGCTTATATGCTATAAATTTGTTCTGCATGCATTTAATGCCTACAGTCTATGAGCATTACTTTATCCTTCTTTGTTGTCTTTTATTTTCTTAAAATATTCTTATAGGAATGTAATAGTTCCACCAAGATACAATGTAAAACCAATGCTTTTAATAAATCAGCAGGATTTAAAAAATCAGTATTAATATTTATGAAATAGAATTATATTTTCTATAATATGTTACTGTGAAATATTTTAATTATAAGGATACATTTAATAAGGATATTTATTAAATATTAATAAATTCACCAGTGGGATTTTTTGGTGCCAATCATACCCATATCTCAAGTACCCTAAGTGGCATCATTACAAAATACAGAATACCTATTTACTTCTCTTAGTAGAGACTAAGGCTTTAAATTTCAAGGTCCTCTGTTATCTAGTCCTCTAAAACTCCAAATAGAAAATGACAACTCTTGCCAAACCATAAAAGGTACAGAAATTTTGTGAAAGATCCTATTTTAGTTAAATCCCACCTGCTAGCATTAATAATTGCACAAAAAATTTCATTGCTTCATTATCTGTCAAAAAATTATATAAGCAAATAGAAGAGAGATTAAACAAGAACAATAATATTGATGTTTTACTGTGATCTTTGGGAGAGGTTATCTTGAAAAACTGCTCTGGATTGCCTAGTTTGCTTGCTCACCAAAGGCAAATTAGCAAGTATACTCAATTTTATGCTCTGAAAATATAGAACTGTAATTTTTTTATCCTTCATTAATTTATTAAAAGAAATAAAATACAACTTTACTGAAAAATGTGCTATTTTTTAAGCCTTTTTTAAACCTCGAGTTGAAGCAGTTGTACCGTTGGGAACATGTGTGCTGTCAAGGCAGAACTATCCAGGTGTTACAAACTTGTTTCTTGTAGATACTGTGGAATACACTTAAGAAATTGTAATTCCTAATTTCTTTTTAGAAAGAGGAGTCATTGTTTTGTTTGAAAGGATATATATTTCCTGTATATGAAAGTCTCAATTAATACATCCTCAAAACACAGGTAGGTGCATACATTACATTATGCCTATTTTTATCACATCTTCATTCACATTTCATATTTACAGACTCTTTGGTGTATATGTTGAGGAATGATTTTAATTACACAGGTTTGCAAAGCTGTATGTGTACAATTTATTAATTCTTTTTAATAGGAGGAGTTTACTTTGTATCTCTGTCTACATGCAGATTTGATTCTGAACTTGAGATTTGTGTGTCTTTTGTAGATGTCTTTTGATATTTGTTTTGGGATTACATGCAGAAGTGAGATGATTGAGGGCAAAGTTTTATTAAAGTTGGATTGTTCTGACTGTCCATAGGAGTTTCATGTTGGGCAGATGATAACCAAGCTGATCCAGCTCTTCAGCTGGAGGAGGCTGGTAAATAGGCAATGCATCAAGTGGTGAGCAGGCAGTCAAGCAAGAACTGTAAATGCAAAGCTACCTAATTAATGGGTTTTACAGTATAAGATTTCAGTCAATCTTGCTGTCTGCTTACCTAGCCCAAAATTTGATCAGTGACAATTTTCCAAGAGACAGTGTTGAATACCATGGTAAAGTCAAGGTAAATGTTTCCCCTAAATAAAATCCTGCTGATTGCTCCTGGAACACCTTCCTACCTTTTGTGTGTTTGGAAAAGTTTTCTAGCAGGATTCATCCAATGCAAACTTGTAAATGGCAGGCAAGTATTTTTATTCATATATATGTTTATATATATATATATCTGCACGTGTATGCACATGTGAGTTGGCTGGAGGTATAGTCTAGATTGTTAATGGGGTGCAGTGATCTGTTTTCAGTGGTTAAGACATTATAGTTATTCTAAGGCATGCAAATTCGTGTAAGAATATCCTTTTATCAGTCAAAAATATTCATTTACAAAGAGTTACTGAATATTAATGTTGTAGAGGATATGCATTTATATAAAAATAAAAGCTAGAGTAATTGTATTTAATTTACTTCTTTTTCCTTTGAAATAACTCCAGTATATTTACATATAGAAAAATACTGTGTACTTTGTAGAGCAGTATGCTTCATTACATAATAGCTATTTATTTCAATTTCAGAGAAGAAAACAGTGGGTTTTTTTTTAGTAGAAGGAGCTGTGGCAAAAAAAATTACTGACATAATTCTCATGTAAGTCTACACCACTTCTCTTGTGGTTCAGGAGAAATGCTTTGTTAAAGAACCATATGAAAGTGAATTGTTTGAATTTAAAAGTACATACAAATACATAGTGTGCCTTCTATTAGTTAGCATTTAATCAAGTCTTTTCCTGATAACTGTGTTGATAGAACACCCTAGTACAGCTCTCAGCTTACATGTTTGAATTTCAAAGAATTTGTTCATTCGTTTGTCTAGCTGTGAAAAGCAGAAGAACTGTATGTACCGGGTAGTCACCAATTTTCTATGTGAGGAGATGAGTATGTTGACATCTAATGCTGAAAAGTGGTGTCCTGGGGAGTTCTCACTTTTGGAGTTTGTTCATGTGACAGTTTCCTGTAGTTTTAATCTTGTGAGGATGGATGCCGATTTCTTCTAGATCTCATATGTCTGTAATCAATAGAATTTTAAACTCTAAAATTTTGAATTGGTCTTTTTTTTTTCTTTAACATTTTAAAATGTAAATCTCATTTCTACTTAAAGTAATCGTTTGGGATAAAAAAGATTAAGATGCATTTTGAAAGATTAAACTTACTGTTATTTCTCTTTAGTTTCAGGCACTGAATTCTGTATCACAAATTCTTGGTTTGCTAGGAAGGAACAACATACTAAGAAATTCTTTAATATCACTTCTCCTATCAGAAGTCCGTCAGTTTGCTGAGCAGTTGTTGCAGGCTCACCAGGTACTGTCATCTTTTCTTTTCATGAAAGGCCAAAGGGTGGTGTTGGGTAGTGTTTTGGCTGTATTTATTTGTTTCTTAAAATGTAAAAATAAAATCATTCTATAGAATATTCAGATTTAAGGGCCCAGAAAATGCTAGAAGCTACCTTAAACAGCAAATTCAAAAAGAGAGGCATAAAGTAAGAGAAAATTCCATATGAGAAGGTAAAATTATCAGACTGGATAATAAATAGACTGTATAGGTTTTTAGATCATACTATATAATTTGCAAAATACTTGAAATAATGAGTGAGAAGACTTTGTTGACTATGCAGGCAATACATCTTTGGTATTCAGCTGAACACACAATACCACTTTGGTATTCTTTCTCTAGCTCATGTAAAACTGGAAAGTCAGCTGCTTTATTTTATTTCAGAATTAGATTTCATGTTTCACATTATTATTATTTCAAATAATTAATTTTCATGATGTGAAAGTAATCCAGCACATACTATTGTATTTAGTTTGTTATAATGAGTAGGAGGTAAAGAGCCGAATAGAACTTCTGATAAAATTTATTCTTAAATTAAATGTTTTTAATAAACTATAGAGGAAAGAGAGAAAGAGAATGGATGTTATTTAACATTTGAAAAAGAGATATATGGAATAAATAGGGGTTTCATAGATTTTTCATGTATTTGTATGTATTGGTATGTATTTCATGCAAAATGTTTGGCTTCATTTGGGATTGCAACTTGATTTTACACTATCCTAAAAACTTTCTATTTGGTGGAAAATAAATTTATGGATACATATAAAAAACATTCACCATGGATTTATTTTGCAATGATCTAATTTAACAAAAGGCTTAAATGTTGCTCAAGCAACATTTAACTTTATTCTTTTTCCTCTCTAGGATATGATGTAGTAGTAAGTTTGGACTGTTGGAGAGGGAGTATATAATTGCTAATCCAAATTTCTAGTATACTTGAATCATATTCTGAAAATGCTAGTTTTAAAAGAATTAGACAATGAGCTGTGTCTTATTTTAGGCCACTATTAGCATACCAGATTTATTGATGGCTACCAAAAGTCAACAGAATTTTAATATTTGTAAGGATAGGGAAGTGCATAATTAAAAACAATAATTATTTTTTTTTAAGTTTAAAGAAGTTGTTCATTTTTACCTTATTAAATCCCACCTATTTAACAGAATTAGTCATCTTTCTTTTCAGAGTTTTGCCAGTGGCAACACAGAAGTTCTTACAGTGATGTCAAGCTCATACTGAGCATTGTGCTTTGCAGTTAGTAACTATGGACCTGCTTGACCTTGCCATACTGTAATCATTTTTATTAATTTCATTTTTGGTGAAGTCTCAGGAGCTGGGCCTCTGTCAATCTGGAGCTGACACTCTGTTGGACTTTGAAAAGCTTCAGTATATGTAGGGAAAGTAAACTAAGTTGTGGTTTGCTTAGCTTGTGGTGAAGTCCGTGTTTTTAAAGTTCATGTATTCTTGTATTTAGTCCAACTAGATGTATTGCGTTCATTTACAAACCCTCATATATTCTGTATGTGATAATATTCTGGAAATCTATCACAATAGGACTCTAATTCTGATTTATGGACCTGCTTCCAGATGTTTCTGAATTTGTGTGGCATGACTTCTGGTAGGCAAAATTCTAAAAAGGGTATTTTTTCTTGTTTTATAATCAAATCTAATGGTACAGTATCAGTTTGAAATAAACAAAATGCCAGCTTAAAACGAAACCTATTCATAAATACTTAAATTAGAGTTTGAAGAAAGATAATACTTCATCTAATCAAACTTCATTAGCTGACAAGCATCCTAATTGTCTTTTGTTACTTAAGCAAAACAACTGTTAATTGCAAAGAATATCTCCCATTTAAAACAATCAAATTAGAGACTCTGAATCATGATTAGAGGTGTGGAAATACATGAGGTTTGTTTTGCTTTGTATTTTGTTAGTTTTATTATTGTTGGCAGATAGGAGAAATAAAGAATTATCTAAGGCATGTATCCAGGTTAGTTTGCAATTAACTTTTGAACATTTGATGGAAAACAGAAATTGAAAGAATAGCTTATTCATCCAAGCAAATTTCTGTTTTATTTTTCATAGTAATATTTTTTTTTAATTGAAGATGTTTTTCAACACTGACTTGGAATAAAAACAACATTCCTTTTAATTTTTCTAACTGAATCATCTAGATAGCTCAACATTTCTATTTTAACTTCCTCATTAAGACTTGAGCTAAGTTCCAAATAATTTGTCAAATGCATGAATTCAAGAATATGCAACTCTGTATTCCATCGTGTCTTCAGTAGGAAGTGTGCTCAGCTCAACCCCTTGCAGGTATACATCTTTGATAAATATTGAAAATATTTTACTTTAGAATTCTGGTTGATTTTAGAGAGTTTGTAACTGTGCCATCTTGGAACAAGCTTATCAGTCTATGACCCACAGTTCTAAGGCACTATCTGTGCCCCTTGCTTTGCAAATTAAAAAATCAGGTTGTCTACTGGAGAGTGTTTCTACTAAATTACAATAGAAAAGTAGAGAGATTACTCTGAATATTTTTATATTGTTGTCTAATTGGTTAAATCCTTTAATCTTACAATATGGCAAATTAATGTCAAATACATGAATCATATGATTTCGTATACAGTATTTCCACATATTAATATGGAAACTAAAAGTAATTAAGGAGCATGTAAAACAGTGTAGTTATCCTGATTTTCCACACAGTTGAGTTTTATATTACTAAACTCTCTAGTAAGTTAGTAATTTGCTTTAATTCATTTAAGTACTTCATCATGGGCTCAAACTAAAGCTCCTACTTATGTGCTTTGCTGCTGCCAGCGTGCTGAATTCTAGGAAAAAGCATATTAATATAAACTCAATTGGATCTCTTTATTTTTACAGATGTTGTATATGGGCTTTTGAGTTTTATCTATAATAGGAAACTTTCATGCTTCATAAATACAATTTATAAGAATACTGTAATTGAACCTTAACTTACTATGAAATTGAAATTTTCTGATCTGCAGTTGGATTCCTACTGCAGAACAGATAGAATTGTAAGATACTAAGATTTCAGAATGGAAGATTTCAGATACTGTGGAAGATGGATTATTTTTCAAATGTTAAGCTACTCTCATGATAGCAGATCTTCCTTTATGACAACTTTCAAAGACAGTGGGCCAGAAATGGAAAGCACATAGTGGTTTACTGGGTTTATGGCTCATTTCTAATGCCCCTGGTGTTAATTCCAAGAATTCTGAAAATGAAAATTAAAAACCAGAAAACAGATTTTGAAATAGGAAAGAAAGACATACTATGAGGTTTTGGAAAGCTCTGTTATTCAGTAATTGCTGATGCATAGCTTGGATAGCATTAGCCAAGTTTTATATCACGTTACTTTCTATATACCATTTTTACTTTTTAAAAAATAGTTTTGTCACAAAATCTCTACACTGAATAGCTGTTTGTTTGGGGTTTTGTAATCAAAACACCAATTTATGTGTAATTCTCAATATTATATGTAAGTATCATGTCCAAATTCAGATGTGGTTGCTGACTTCTCACCTGAAGTGAATGACAGGACGTAAAGGATGAGATTAATCCTCTTTAGTTTAGGTGTATGTAGTAGACTTTGCTGTCTGTTTCGTGTAAGTCAACCAAGCAGCTAAGCATAAGTAAAAATTTGCCAACATGAAGATAGATAGTCAGGCAAGGCTTTGCTGAATTTACATAAATTCTTGAGAATTGGGCTCATTACAACAAAACAGCTTTGACTCAAAAGAACCAAAGGAATTAGACATAAGGTGGGACTTGTCTCACTTGAATTCACATTTCTATGATATTGCCATCTGACTTTCTTACTTTAACTTTGCATTTTAGTCAAGGCAGGGGAAAAGTAATTTCTTGTCCAACCTATGTTCTTGTACTTAATTAGGATAATTGGTCCTAGAGCTGTTTGCTTCTTTCTTCTGGCTATGAGAAAGGACATTTGATAACATGAAATGCAGATATTTATGTTGTAAAATTCCAAAGTTACAGGATGAAAATCCCATAATATCTCTACAAAAAAAAAGTCTTTTTGGATGTTCTGGGCAAAAGATCTGGGCAAGTTATTTGAGGGAAGACCTGATCCTGCAGAACGTTGTAACAGGCAGTCATGCAAAGCATACTTCTGTCTTTACACTGACAAACTTATGTAAGTGACTTTATGAGATGTTTGGAACAAGTTATATTTTAGTTACTGTAATTAATAAGTTAACTTAGTTAGCAGGTATTCAAATTCTATTAGTGTCTACAAGAGGCTGATGACTGATGATGATGGATGGTTAGGATATGTGGATTGAAGCTTCTTGTAAGATGCATTCAGCTACAGTGTCTGATGTATGTGCCTCTAAACAGGAAGACTCCTAAAACCTATGGTCCAGGCCATGTATTGAGGCGGAAAAATAACCAAGGGGAACACAGAAGCACTCTGATTTTTAGTATTTCTGGAGATTTTCATTGCTGTTCAGCACTGTGTAGCTAATAGTCATGTCACTGGAATGTCAAACTGCACAGGAACTGCTCTATATGGAAGCAAATGAAGGGCTGAAGTGTTCCTGTGGCTGGAGAGCTGGTTTTTTTCCTAGCTGGCCTGAAAATTAGAGACATTGTGAATGTCAAGTTGGACTAGCTCAGTCGGTAATCAGCTCATCAGGGGAAATGGAGTTTTTCTGTAGCTGAGTTCAGCTAGATGATCAAAAGGTTTAAAGTGCTGAGAGCTGAGCTGTTAATGTCAGAGCTTGTCTTCATAAGCCTTTCTCCATGCATCCATTCTGTATCCAATGGTTGCTGTGGGCAGGTGTGGTATGAACCACATGCTTTATTCCAAAGGCAAGTGTGTCTGATATAATGTAAAGAATTCTTCAGAAAAGCTCCTCTTTCCAAGAAGTTTACTTCATTTATGCAGTTTGTCTGATCTCTTCAAACATAAGTTTATAT